CTCTCATGTATACTGTTCATGGTCTGCATATATAAAATATACCTTATCAATTTGGCTTTTGAAGTCATATCGTTACTATTAACTTACTTGTAAAGTATGTTTTATTCTGAAGTTTGGGTAATATTGAAGTCTTGGCAAACGCATGAGATTAGAAACTCCCATTGGTTTAACAGAGTGTGTTTTTGGATTAAAAAAAAAAGAGTAGAAAGAATTTTCTAATTAGATTTTAGAAAAAGTGAATTGGTTTATATGGAAAGGAAATTTGGTTATATGAAAGATATACAGTATCCCCAGTGAAGAGAAAAAATAAGTCATAAACGTTTCTCTTAGAACATGTTGTGTTAGATTTATCTCATGTCTACAGAGATAAAATGGTAGGTAAGTTTAGGTTTTCTTTTATAGAAACATAAACCGAAGTTAGTTAAGAAAAACTAAATTAAAATGAGAGCTCTGAACTTGGAAAAACCCAATGGAACCTTAAGATTTTTCTGTTATATTGCTTCATTATTACCTGTTTTTCAACTGGAATTTTAGAGAGAAATTTATGATATTTTCAATGTATTTATATAGAAAAATGATTATTTATAAAATGTATTTTTATAGTTTTAATATAAACGTTCCCTTAGGGAGATTCTATATAATCTTTGTTAATTAAACTTTCAAATTTGAAAGTAAATCATGACTGCACACTATTTGTCAGAAGTTATGACACTCTTTATAAAGCCTTTTTTAAAAATCTGGGGTGATGGGCTGGGTGGCATGGTGGCTCACACTTGTAATCCCAACACTTTGGGAAACGAAGGCAGGAGGAGCCCAGGAGTTCAAGACCAGCCTGGGTAACAGAGTGACTAAAACAAAACAAAGCAACTCTACTGAAAAACAAAACAAAACAAACAAACAAAAAAAAAAAAACAAGACCAAGCATGGTGTTGCACACTTGTAGTCCTAGCTTCTTGGAAATCGAAGTGGGTTAATTGATTGATCCCTGGAAGTCAAGGTTGCAGTGAGCTGTGATTGCACACTGCACTCCAGCCTATGTGATAGAGCAAGACACTGTGAAAAGAGAGAGAGGGAGAGAAAGAAAGAGAGAGAGAGAGAGAGAGAAAGAAAAAGAGAAAGAAAGAGAAAAAAGAAATTTTGAGGACTGCTTTTAGTTTTACTTTAATTTAGGTTATTAATGTTACAGGCTTGTCCTTTTCTGCTCTTTGATACTTTGAATCTCATGTAAGTCCCATCTTTACTGGTTTATTATTGTTATTTTTTTTCCATTGGTAATTCCTCTTAGTTTTACTTTGTAAAAAATATCCAAAATCTTACCAATCATCACTATCTCCATACAACTACGTTTGTCTAAGCCCTCATCATAGTTCACCTAAGTAGACTCTTAGCAGCCCCTTATTGGACTTCCAGCTTCCTTTTTTTCCTCTATGTAGTCTTTTCTTTACACAACAGATAGAAAGATCGTAAAACATTTACTCCTCTGCCCAAAACCATCCCAAAGTTAAAGCTGTAGTCCTTAGTATGGCCCTTAGAGTCCTTTGTGACTGGACTATGGCTGCTTCTCTAATCTTATCTCCTAATTCTTTCTGTTTTTTCACTGTGCTCTAGCTATGACTTCTTACTCTCTCCCTGAAATGTTAAAAGCACACCCTTACTTCAGAATATTTGCATTTACTGTCTTCCTCCCAGACTGTACTGCTTTCAGATACCTGAATTAGTTGCTCCCACAGTTCATCCAAGACTCTACTAAAATGATTTCACCAGAGGATATCCCTGACCTCTCATATCTAAAATTCTCTTCTTACCTTACTTGCAAAGCAGCCTATGTGCCTAACTGCAGATTTTTATGTTTTTTTCTTTTTCCTCCTAATATCTAACTGTTTTCCTACCCAGGTCTAATTTTTTTTTTTTTTTTTTTTTTTTTTTTTTTTTTTAAGATATGGTCTCACTATGTTGCCCAGAATGGTCTCGAACTCCTAGGCTCAAGCAATCCTCCCACCTCAGCTTCCCATGTAGCTGGGATTAGGGGCATGCCATGGCACCTAGCTCTAGGCTTAATTTGACAACAGATATTTTTAGCAACGTTTTATTGAATTCTTTCAGAACATTCAAATTAACTTCATAAAGACAAAAACTTTTTTGTACTCATAAATTCACTGGTTTATGTAATATTTAATTACATCTCATAATAAAAGATACAGTTAGCATAAATGGTTTGGGAATAAACACACCTGATGCTTGGTAAAGCTAAAACTTAACTGATGGAAACAAAACTTTGGCTTCATTCTAGAGTACTCTGCCAGAGTCAGCATACATAACATGTGAACATTAATCAGAATGTTCTACAGAAGTAGAGTCTTTACTAATCAGTCCAGTAAGTTGATCAAGTAGAGTTCGATTAAAAGAGCTTAATTTGTAATCAACATTAGAAACTGAAATAGATTTAGCTTGATTACATATATAGCTTTTCCAGATTATCCTAACTTTATTGGATTAGTTCATCTTTAAAATTCCTATAAAATTAATTCCACAAGTGGGAATAAATGACTACTAGAGAATTGCCACTTTTCTTAAAATAACATAGATTGTAAAAAATGTATCTAATCAAAGATGTCCTACAAATGGATAGTGTTGATGGATGCACAAAATTGTAGACATACTTAATGTCACTGAATTAAACGCTTAAAAATGCTTAACATGGCAAGTTTTATGTTATGGATATTTTATCACAGTAAAACTGAAAAAATACATCTTTACTTACGTTTTTTAAATGTAAATAAAACCTTTAGGCAATGTTACTATGCAGTATAGAAGAAAAAGCAGAAGTCATGGAATTAGAAGTCTTGTATTTATGTAATAGGAGTTCTATCATGAGTGAGTTGGATAGATTTTGGCAAACCTTTTCAACTATCTTAGCTGTAGTTTTCTTATGTTGAATGTAAACATACTTGTTCTTAACTCTCAGGAATTTCATGAGGAACAAGTTTAAGTTTTATATATATCTATGTATGCTTTTCATAAACCACAAATAAGTTTATATACTTTAGCTGGAACTTTATAATTTCAGAGGGGTTATTGAACTGACTATTGGCATTGGATGTAAGAATTTGGCTTCAGGCATTTGCTATTGAGGTTTTAAAAGTGTTTAAATATCTTACTGTAATTTTTTTGTTTTGTTATTTGGGACAGTGCAGCTGTTTTCTCCTAGGGTATAATTAGTTGAGAATGGAAAAGTTTAGCTTATATTTGGAGAGTTATACTTCCTATTTCCATTATAAAATTTTCAGGTTTTTTCCTAATTAGTGTCTTTGCTTAATGGGTTCCTCTTTATGACTTTTGGGGAGAAAGCCTCCTAGATTGAGATAGATATTAGATAATTAGCTTTCATTTTCTCCTTGGAAGTCAGTGAGTTAAATAACAAAAATCATATAAAAGTTATATGATTTGTATAAGTTATATACAGTGGAACAGAAAATGATAGTCTGAGTAAGGTACAATGATGAAGTCATAAATCAGACTTAAGCAACAGAAAGTTATTTATTGCTTTGTTGCCCAGGCTGGAGTTCAGTGGCATGATCTTGGCTGACTGCAACCTCCACCTCCTGGACTAAAGCATTTGTCCTGCCTCAGCCTTCTGAGTAGCTTGGACTACAGGCAAGCACCACTATGCCCAGCTAATTATTTTTGTATTTTTAGTAGATACGGGGTTTCACCATGTTGGCCAGACTGGTCGGAACCCCTGACCTCAGGTGATCTCAAAGTGCTGGGATTACAGGCGTGAGCCACTGCACCCGGCCTAGAAAATTATTTATCTTGGGCATTGATTAAATTGCATTTCTAGATACTCACTGTCAGTAGACTAAAAGATTTTTTTCCCCTCTGAATAAGAAAACCGTACGTTCAGTGAACTCAGTATTTATTAATTTTTGCAAAACATCCCTGTTTGTTTTGTTAATTACAAAACAGAATCATTTTAACAATATGCTGTAACAAATATATTGTATACAATACAATATACTGTGACAATATACTGTAATAAAATTACAGCACCATTACTCTTGTGCTTTGTGGCCATTCTGAATCAAAATAAGGGTTAATTGAACACAAGCACTGCCATACCAAGACAGTGGATCTGCTAACTGAGAAAGCTGCTAAGTGACTAATGGCGGGTAGCATATAGAATGCGGCCACAGTGGGCAAAGGCATGATTCATGTCTTAGGCAGGATGGAGCAGGACAGCGCAAGATTTCATCAGGCTACTCAGAATGGTATGCAATTTAAAACTTACGAATTGTTTATTTATGGAATTTTCCGTTTAATATTTTTGGATTCAGTTGACCGTAGGTAACTGAAACTGCAGAAAACAAAACTGTGGATAAAGGGAGATTACTGTGTATATGATCCTCAGTGACTGGCTTCTCCTAGGTGTTTCCTCCTTCTCCCCTCCCTCCTAACAGTGATGCTCTAGCCATGCAGAACCATCTTTGTATATTCTAAAATATAGTCCCTTGCTTTTATGTGTGCTGTTCCTTCTACCTTTTCCCCTCTTGTCCAGTTTGTGATGTACTTCTCACTTTTATAATGCTTTCTTTTACTCCCTCTTCTATGACATTAACATTGCTTATGTTTACCTCTGTTAAAATCTCATTGCATTTTAATTGCAATTTAACTCTTTGTCTCTTTCCCTGAGGTAAAAACTCCAAGTATCTTGATGAAAAGAATTTTGTTGTATCCATCCATTTATTCCCCATACATAGCACATTGTCTGAAGATGCTTTGTAAATGTTTGTAGACTGCAGGAATAGTATTATACATACGAAAACACGAAAGTCTGAAGGTGATATACATATCAATGGTGATGCTGCTCTAGGTATCATAATCAATTGTGCTGCCGGTTAGACTGGGCCCCATGTTTCCTGGCTCCCTCAGTCCAATGCTCTGCCACTAAATGGAATTAATTTTGGTTCTTAACAAAACATCTTTTTGTTTTTTCTTTACAGATATTGATGATGTTGAGAAGTTCAAACCAGGTTACCTAGAAGCTACTCTTAATTGGTTTAGATTATATAAGGTACCAGATGGAAAACCAGAAAACCAGTTTGCTTTTAATGGAGAATTCAAAAACAAGGTGAAGATGAGAATCTTTATTTTAAAATGTACCTCCCGTACAATACTCATTTCACTTGGGGAGTTTCTTATGTGAATATGTATATATAGTATGGTAAGAAAAGTGCTTTTTACTGACTTACATATTTAAAAACATTATTTTATTATTTAAATTTTGCTTCAGAAGATCTCTCTAAGTGAATCACCAAGGCTGAACAATATCTGTGTCCATCTATCTGTCTATAGCTCCTACATGTTAGAAAAAGAACAAATTTCATGATCAGTCTAATTTTGCAAATTGTGTACATAGAAAAACTTTCTATTTACTGTTTTGTGGAGGAGAAAGTTATGCACCCTTTATATAAATCCGTAGGGCGCTCCCTCCTAAGTGTTCATTCTACCACGACGGAACTAAGCTGCTTAACAATTGAAAGGACACCTGAATTATCTTACTGTCATAGGATTTTTCTATTAGAATACCAGAGTTACCACAAAGCATCTCTAATATGACATAAATGGAGAGAATAGGCCAAGGAGTTAAAGTCTAAAACATGGAATTTTTTTTAAAGTTATTACCACTAGGTAAGTTGAATATTTGAAACCAACTTTTAAGTGGATAACAGTAAGTATGTTTTTAAGTGAAATAAGGCATGTTAATGAAAACTTAAAATTTATGATGGGTATTTTGCTGTAAAAGAATTGATTGCTGGACTCAGTGTTTTTTTTTTTGAAGGCACATTAAAAGAATCCTTCAAATTTTGAGGGCTTTGGGATTATTAAATGTAAATATAAAATTATTATTTTAGACTAAATTATCTTCCTGAAAGGATTAAACATTTATACATTATTTTTTCTTTAAAAAATTTACATTTTATTATTGAGATAATTGAAATTTCAAACCTATATAGTAGTTTTGTGTCTCCTTATTGCCTCAGGGTAAGTCTGCTAAGTCACAAATTTGTAAAGAATGAGGTAGTTTTTGGTTTTCGTTTGTTTTGACAAATAGTAATTCTTTTCTGTATAAAGATGAGGTCATTTATACAACTTCTCCAGAAAATAATTATTTTATGCATTGCTTTTTACTACTGCTATTTAAAATATAGAGCCTAGTTGCTTTAGTATTGCTATGAAAGAATTGCTGAGGCTGGGTAATTTATAAAGAAAAGGTTTATTTAGCTCACAGTCCTACAGGGTATACCAGAAGCATGGTGCTGGCATCTGCTTCTGGTAAGGACCTCAGCTTCCAATCATGCCAAAAGACAAAAGGGGAGCAGGCATGCCACAGGGTGAGAGAGGAAGCAAGTGAGAGAGGTGGAAGGTGCCCAGGCTCTTTTTAACAATCAGTTTTTGTGGGAACTAACAGAGCAAGAACTCACTCATTACTCTGAGGAGGCACCAAGCCATTCATGAGGGATCCACCCCCATGATCCATACACCTCCCATTAGGCCTCACTTCCAACATTGGGGATCGATTTGAACGAGATTTGAGAGGACAAATCCCCTCAAACCATAGCAGGGCATAACTCAAGAATTAATTTGTGCCTCTTTAACATGGTTGGAAAGATGGCTCCTTTCTTTTATTCTGGGTTTTTCTTGCAAGTCCTTTAAGCAGGTATTGAAATTGGTTCTAAATAATCACACTTATCCAAATAATTGGATTAAAAATCTATCCTTACATAATCAGATAATGTATGAGATTTCTTGTCCTGTATCTGAAGTGAGATCCCCGCCCAACACTATCTCATTAAGATATAAGCCGTCCTCCATCGCAGGCAATAGAAGACCTGAGAGAAATTCTCTTTTCAGAGGATAAATTTCCCATTATTACTGTGTCTCAGTTCCCAAGATTCTTTGGTTTCTTTATTATCATAATGTGTATAGTTATCATTGGAGAAGAAAGGAGTTTGAACTAACCAGTAGGGACTCTCCATAAGGAAAACGAGCAACATTTTTTGGGAAAAAACTCTACAGAACTTTCTGCTTTGGAATTATAAATCAAGTTTTCTTTAGATGTTCTTACTGGATGTATATCCAACAAGAGGTGTATCTGTTGTTGCTAATGCATTTTTAGACAATGTCATAAATGTCAAGGAGATATACTACTTTCAGACAGTGGATAGTCTAAAATTACTTTGAAAAACTACATTTAGACTGCCTGCAGTTTTGATGATGCTGAAATTAATGGGTGCATGCTTACTGACAAGCCGGGTACTGGGTTAAGCACTTTACACATGTCATCTTACTTACTGTTTCAACAACTCTGTGACTTAGATCAGGGGTTGGCAAACTTGTTTCTGTAATGCGTCATATAGAAAATATTTTAGGCTTCACAGATCGTATGATTTCTGTCACAGCTGCTCAACTCTGCTATTGCAGCACTAGAGCAGGCCGTAGGCCAAACACAAACAAATGTGACTGTTCAGTAAAACTTTACAGGGGGCAGGCTGGATTTGACCCATAGGCCCTAGTTTGCCAACCCTGATGTAGATTATCCCTATTACATTCTACTTCATAGATGAAGAAATTGAGACTTAGCGAGCTTAAGTAACCTGCCCAAAGTCACACAGCTGACAAATAAGGAAGCCAGAATTTATACCAAGCTTTGCCTGACTCTGGAGTTTCATGCTCTTAACAGTTAACTGTCATCACAAGATTAGTTTTGTGTTAGTATAACAATGTGACTGATATTAAATACGTCTTTTTTTTATTTGTTTGTTTGGAGCTAGGCTTTTGCTCTTGAAGTTATTAAATCCACTCATCAATGTTGGAAAGCATTGCTTATGAAGAAGTGTAATGGAGGAGCTATAAATTGGTAAGAATTTGTCCTTTCTATGTAAGTAACACTATTTTATTATTAATTGGTATTAAACAGCCACATAATACTCAGATTTCAGATTTTTTTTAAAAGAAAATTTCATGTTTTTTTTTTTAATGTAAACAATACAGAGTATCTACCTATTGAGCATTACTAAGTGTTGGGCACTATTAAACTAGGAATTGACATGATCCTTTTTCTCAAGGGATTTATAATTTAGTGGGAATACTGACAAATAAATGAACATTTAATTGAAATACATTGTGCAAAGATGAAAAATGCAATTTTTCAACATGTAAATCTATATGTTTTTTTTAATCTGATAACAGCCATATAATTTCTTAGAAAGTAAAAGCCTTCTTATTCATCATGATCACTAGTTGATTAAGAGGAATTAATAGTAACATAAATCAAACATGTAATTTAAAACATTGAAATGCATATTCACCCATTTTTGGATATAGGGCTGAGTCCCTTTTAATATCATTTCCATATAGATTTTGTATATACTCTAACATAACATAGGATAGAAAATAAAGATTCTGTACTCCTTAAACTCCTTATAGCTTAAAATCCCTGACAGATTTTTAAAGTTCTTTTTAAAAAATCATTTAAACTATGTTATCCACACCCAATTTGATATCAAATTTTTGTAGTGATTCACCTTTATTGAGGCTTTTTAGGGCCTCGGTATTGTTTAAAGCCTCGATAGTTTTATAACCTACTTAATGTTCATAGAAACAGTTCTTCCACACTCTTTCACAGTTCATCGGTGAACATAATTAATACTAAAATTTTGAAATTATAGTAACAAGTACAATTGACAAACACATTTAGGAACAAAAACAACTGGCTCTTGGTAAGTCTAAGTATAGGAGGCAAAAGCAGTCCTGTGGGGGTACTAAAGATATTACTATGAATACGATAAAGTCCCTGCGCTCTCTGAGCACAGTCTGGGAATCAAGAGGGTCTTTAAAGAAATCACTAGAATAAGGTAATCAGATGGAGTAAAGAATTACTTAATCTCAAGGAATATTTTACCTAAGTCATCAAGAAGGCCCGTTTTGCCTACAACACAAATGCTTGGCATTCAAGATACTGACTTTGTTTCTCTTGCTTACTAAAGAAACACTGTCAACTCCTTGGCCTTCTCCCTTTTTTCTTACCTCGTATGCAGAGCACTCTTTTTTTTTTTTTAAGCATAATCTTAAACTGTAGGTAATTGTTTCTAATATAAATAATATATTTTATTCACAGCAAAGCTGGATATGATTGAATGTCCTCTAGTCTTGTCTATCCTAGTAAATGGTGGACTGAGCTATTCTGTATGGTCTAAAATTAAGACTACAGTGTAATGAGTCCCTCCAGTACGAAGGGGAGGGTCTCTGACTGTCAGAGGAAATATTTGCTTGCTCTTTGCTTGTCTTATCTCCTTCCTGATCACATTTTCTAAAACGCTTATGCAGTCTTTGATGAGACTTGAGTGTTTCCCCAGGTTTCCTCAGCTACAGAGCCAGAGACCTTTGTTTGGTTAGTATATCTATAACTTGAATTCATTCCTTCTGTACTGAGTCTAATTATCCTTACTGTGAAGGTAACTTTATTTCTAAACTCTGGAATCATTTTGCTGTAGCCTCTTGAGTAATGATAAGGATTACATTAAGAGTTAACATTTATTAACTCTACACTATGTTCCAGGTTCTGAGTGATTTATATATGTTATGTAATTAATACTCAAGAATCCTATAAAATATGTATTGTTATCTCCATTTTACACATGAAGAAATTGAGTCCACATAAAGATTTAGGTAACTTACCGAAGGTCACACAATGCATGGTGGAGCCAGGATTTAAACCATACTCTCTTTTTTTTTGAGATGGAGTCTTGCTCTGTTGCCCAAGTTGGAGCACAGTGGTGCGATCTTGGCCCACTGCAACCTCCGCCTCCCAGGTTCAAGTGATTTGCAATTCTCCTGCCTCTTAAGTAGCTGGGATTACGTCAGCCTGAAACCACGCCTGGCTAATTTTTGTATTTTTAGTAGAGACTGAGTTTCTCCATGTTGGCCAGTCTGGTCTCGAATTCCTGGCCTCAAGTGATCGCTCACCTCGGCCTCCCAAAGTGCTGGAAATACAGGCATGAGCCACCACACCTGGCCTAAACCTTACTCTCTTAATAGCTATGTTCTTTTACCTCCTCTACATTTTTTACAACAAAATAACTTTTTTTAGTGTAAGAATTTTTAGGATGTAAGTTTCAGTATATACATCAGAATTTTAACTTATTTTAATCCATATTTCTCTTATTTTTTTTTATCATAACTTAATTTGGAAATGTAGTCAGAGTTATTAGTTTTTATTTCTTTTGCCTTTCTATAATGAATTGCCTTTCTTTCTTAATTCCTTAAACTGTACCATTATAGATTGGCAAGCTTCCTCTGCATTCCTTTTTGAAGCCCATTTTTCTCACTCAGTTCAGTTTAGGTCCAAACTATTGTAGACATTCTCTCAATGTATATGTAATACACAGTATTAAGCAGGGAAATTGTTAGAGAACGCAGATGCATTGTCCCCTTCTTTAAACCTAGAGTATTAGTATCTTTAGGAGGTAGAGTCTAAACATGCATATTTTTCAAGCCCCCCATGTGATTCTGATGAGCCTCTCTGCTTAAGAACTGTATTATAATTATTATTATCATTATTATTATTATTTGAGACAATGTCTTGCTCTGTTGCCCAGGCTGGAGTGCAGGGGCGCGAACATGACTCACTGCAGCCTCGACCTCCCAGAGTTAAGTGATCCTCCCACCTCAGCCTCCCAAGTACAGGCATGCACCACCGTACCTGGCTACTTTTTAAATTTTTTGTATAGACAGGATCTTGCTAAGTTGCTAGGGATAGTCACAAACTCCTGGGCTCAAGCAATCCACCCACCTCAGCCTCCCAAAGTGCTGGGATTACAGGTGTGAGCCACTGTGCCTGGCCTTAAGAATCATAAAATCCAAACTTGTTCTCATGGAAAAACAAACAAGGCCTTCCAAGATTTAGATAACCTTTCTTGCCTCATTTTCCATCACTTCGTCTCCTATTTTGTGTTACAATAACTGAAGGCCACTTGTCACTCCTCACAAACACTGTGCTTGTAGTGATCTTTAGGCCTTTATTCATTTTGTTTCCTTTGCCATGATTGTCTTCTCATTTCTTGAACTGGCCATGTTACTCATCTTTTAAGATTTAATTTTTACTTTGTCTTCTCTAGGAAACATTCCCTCATATAGTTTGCTAGTTGAAATGCCAGTACTCTCTGTATTCCTTGTTCTCTGCGGATTTTCGTCATTACATCTGTCACAGTTATTAAGTACTTGGTTCATGAATTTATCTTCTTCTCTAGAATATAAGTTCCTCAAGAGCAGATGAATAAAGATGCCTTATTCATCTTTATATTCCTAATGCCTGGCATGTAGTAGCTATTCAATAAATATCTGTTGGAGTAAATTGTTGAATAATATTTTAAAGCCAACAATTTTTTTTTTTTTTTTTTTTTTTCCGAGGCAGAGTCTCACTCTATTGCCCAGGCTGGAGTGCAGTGGTGCAATCTCAGCTCACCACAACCTCCGCCTCCCGGGCTCAAGCAGTTCTCCTGCCTCAGCCTCCCAAGTAGCTGGGATTACAGGCACCCGCCACCATGCCTGGCCAATTTTTGTATTTTTAGTAGAGACGATGTTTCACCATGTTGGCCAGGCTGATCTCAAACTCCTGACCGCAGGTGATCCACCTGCCTCAGTCTCCCAAACTGCTGGGATTACAGGCGTGAGCCACCACTCCTAGCCTTGTTTTTGTTTTTTTTTTTAATCCAGGTAGTGACTCTTCTCTTTTCAGGAGCACTGCATTTATTAAGTTCTTTTAATTGATTCCTTGAAAATTCTCTTTCTCAGAATAAGTTTTTTGTTGTTGTTGTTGTTTATTTTTTCCACTGCTGAGTGTTTACTCTGAAAGCTAAATATTCTTTTAACAGAGAGAATTTTATTATTTCTAGTCTTACCTAAGAAAACTTTAAACTCGATTCTGGGAGAAGTCATTTTTTGACATTTGAGTTTATTCTTCAGTCCTCTCCCACTCTCTCTTCAACCAGTTGATATACCTTATTAAGAAATCAGAAATGTACTATTGTGTTTACTACTTTATTTTATTAACCATTATTTATTTTGATCCATCTGTCTTACATATTTTCCAAGTTTTGATTGATTCTTGGGTGCGTTCTAGCTGTAAAACTGCACTAATTTAAATTAGGTCTATCTCCTAATGCTACCCTCCCCCCTGCTCCCTCCCCACAAGGGACACAAACTCATCCTTTTTTTATGGCTGCATAGTATTCCATGGTGTATATGTGCCACATTTTCTTAATCCAGTCTGTCACTGATGGACATTTGGGTTGATTCCAAGTCTTTGACATTGTAAATAGTGCTGCAATAAACATATGTGTGCATGTGTCTTTATAGCAGCATGATTTATAATCCTCTGGGTATATACCCAGTAATGGGATGGCTGGGTCAAATGATATTTCTAGTTCTAGATCCTTGAGGAATCACCACACTGTTTTCCACAATGGTTGAACCAGTTTACAGTCCCACCAACAGTGTAAAAGTGTTCCTATTTCTCCACATCCTCTCCAGCACCTATTGTTTCCTGATTTTTTAATGATCGCCATTCTAACTGCTGTGAGATGGTATCTCATTGTGGTTTTGATTGCTTTTCTCTGATGGCGAGTGATGATGAGCATTTTTTCATGTGTCTATTGGCTGCATGAATGTCTTCTTTTGAGAAGTGTCTGTTCATATCCTTTGCCCACTTTTTGATAGGATTGTTTGCTTTTTTCTTGTAAATTTGTTTGAGTTCTTTGTAGGTTCTGGATATTAGCCCTTTGTCAGATGAGTAGATTGCAAAAATTTTCTCCCATTCTGTAGGTTGCTTGTTCACTCTGATGGTAGTTTCTTTTGCTG